CCTGCTGTTGAAATATTTCCTGAGTGTTGAAAACGTGTTAAATCCTACTCTCTCATAGTCCCCAGTCAGCTGGGTGAAGCAGAGGAGGGTCCTCTCAAGCCAGCTCCTTCCCTGTTGGTGCTTTCACTAAGAGTGGGGCTTTGTATGGTTCTTGATAACAAATGACAGGTCTCAGGGATTGGGAGCTGAGGAAGTCATGCAAAAGTAACACTGCAAAGAAGTCTCCTGAAGTGGCTCTGTTAAAGCTTGATTAGACAACAGACTGGGGGCATAGAAAGTATGAGGTACCAACTGTGGCCACATGTTTATGCCTGGATAGAGGATGGGAGCACGCACATGGCGGCCTACCGGAACAGGGATTGTGTTGGAGGCCCAGGCCAATGAAGGACTTTCAGGGTATTGACCAAGCCCCACATGGACCCTTAAGTTTCTTCATCTGTCTTATGCGATGAAGCAAAGCACTCATTAAGTCAGGCACTGATTGACTGCACTGGGCAGCTATAGAGGAATAGCATAGTAGATCATGGTCCTACAGCACAGGGGACCCAAGCTGTAGAAAGCTGCAGGGACCATTGGGAGATGGGAGCTGCTCAGCTGTCCTGGTGAGAAAGATCCCTCTCATGCCCACTCTCTCATCAGCTCTTGTCTCTGACTCCAAAGGCATGAGGTGGCTTGGGGTGTTCCATGGGCCTTGGTCCCTTGTTCCTCAGAGACCCCCTCTGCTGGGTCCTCGTTTGTACCTGGCTCCAGGCCTGGGCAGCCCATCTCCTGAGCCCTGGGCTGACGTGCAGTTCCTTTCATGTAGACATTAAGCTGTTGTGGAGAACCGCGGTTGGATGGTGACAATTGGCAAGTGTCTTCTTGACCAGCATTGGAAAAGTGATTGCCAGGTCTCTGAGCCCAATTCTACCCAAACCTTTTCCCAGCCTTACTCCACACCCTGCAGGGGCCGTGTGGGCAACAACTACACCTGGGTTCTCAATTCTTTTGCAAATGATCCCTAAAGCTCCCTTTCATGATTTGCTTGACATTTTCATCAGCCACAAATTGACCCTTAGCAACAGGCTATGCAAAAACAAAACAGAAACTGGTGTGAGAGCTCCCGGGACACCGCTGCCTCTTTCATCTTCTGTGTGCCCAAATCTACCCCAACATCGTGTTTCCTTCTTGCATTCTCATTGGGCCTGAGTTGGTGGATACCGGCAGGGAGCCAGCATCTTCATGGGGGTGGTTTGGTTGTGCAGCCCACATGGAGGGCGTTGGCTAGGCACTGATGTACGTTATTGTATTCAAAACTGACAGGTGCAGTCACATCCCTGGCCAAGATTGAAGGCTGGGACAAGCAGCACAAGAACTAGTCCCAGTGCTAAGTGAGGCTATGAAGCAACAGGAACAGGTCTTTGTCTTCAGGAGGGTATGGTAAACCCCCTCCCCCTCAGTACAAGGTGATCTGGAAGAACTCAATTTACACCCTTGGCTCCTGTGGGCTGGGGGATCAGCAGAGGGCGGGATAATCCAGCTTCTCAAGCAGATGGTTTCTGACTACCGCTTGACCCAGTTCCCTCCCAGCAGATGACTGACAGCAGGGCTGACAGCTCCTCCACCAGGAGAGCAAAGTGAGGACCCTCTCTCTTCCCACTAGCCAGAACATGATGGCTTTTATCTCTTCCTGGTGCCAAGTCAATGGGTAGAATGCTGCATCTCTCTCAAGGTCGGGAGCCCAAACCTATTCTCCTTCTCTTCTCTCAGCCCTGTCTAGCCCAGGTGAGGCCAGCGAAAAAGCTGGGTAGGCCATGAATGGCCTCCAGGACTTGTGCTAGGGCATGGCAGGTCTTCATGACTTCTCTCATTCATTCATTCAATCAATCATTTCTTCAGTAAGCTCTCTCTAATCATCTGTCAGGTTTTGCACCAGACAAGGGCCCATGAAGCCTGGTGCCTGTGCTGGAAATGGACAGGTGATAAGACAGGCAGGCACTGAGCACAGGGGCCTAACCAGGCAAATCGCAACTTTGGACAGAAGGCCAGGGAGAGCTTCACCAAGGAGAGACTGGGCTGGGTTCTAAAAATTGAGGATAAGTTTGGCAAGCAGTAGGGGTGAGGAAGCCAGAGGGCCAGAGTGTGTGGGCCTGGTGAGAAGATGCAAACAAAACCACCAAGGTGGGCCAGCGAGGCTCGGGATCATCTTGCAGGATTTGGTGGCCCAGGCTGTCCCAGAGGCAGCGGCATCTCCTCCTGTCCAGGATCATAGGCTCCTGACAGAGCACGGGTGGGGTGGACATGGGTGAAAGCAGCAGAGAATGGGTTCTTGACGTCCTTAGAAGGCAGAAGGGCTGCTATCTCCAGCATCCTCTTGGGCGGATACTTCTGACTTTTGAGTTTCACCCTAGTTTTGCTCAATAGACTTTTGGTCGGTTCCTCTGACTGGGAGGGAGGGGGCGCTCTGCCTCCAGACTTGCAGGACTCCATGGGGTTGCTGTCCTGGTGGAATGCCACAGCGCAGGGCTGGCCTGAGAGGTCTGCGGTGGGGATAGGGCAGGATGGGGGAAGAACCCAGCTGGAGTCCACTTTGGCCTGGTAGTTGGGGGTTCCTCCACACACAACATCTGAAGAAAGCCAGAATGTCCTCCCAGCCCATTGCTCCCTCCAGGTCCTGCCTGCTGCCATGTGAGCCCATGTTGGGGGTAGGGGGTCCCAGGGAGCAAGGCTGTGTTCCTAGTCCTGGGGGCTGTGCCCTCTGGGCATTATCTGTTACCCCAGATTCCCGGTGGGGGGTGCAAAGAGGGACAGAAGGAACCGTTGCACTTGGAATTCTGGACAGAGCTGGAAATCAGATTTCTATGTGCAGTTTCTTGTCTGGTGGCCAGGGAAGGGCGCCCTGGAACCATCTTTTCTTGGGTTCTGTGAGGAGCTTGCCCTAGTCACCTCGTTTGCACCTCCCAGCCATCCAGTGTAATATAGGTGTCATGGTACCCTCTTTACAGATGAGGAGATAGAGTGGAGAAGATAGGACTCTGTACAAGGTCACTTTTACAAAGCTGGTAGTGTTTTAGCCCGGACTGAAACCCAGGATTGACTGAGGTCAAGTGTGCCAAGGCGGGAATGGAGAGCTGGAGACCCCGCCAGCTCTGCCATCCCTGGAGTCAGAGACCTCCGGGCCTACACTGTGGTTCTCCAGAATAATCCAGGCGTTCCTGGGGCCCGCTCTACCAGAGCCAGAAACTGGGTTATGCCTCCATCGGCGGCCGCCTACCCTGTCCTCCAGCCCCAGGCAGGGACCATGCCTTGCCCAGTGCGACGGAGGCTTGGCTTGGGCACTCGGAGAGAGCACTGCAGCCCCGGAGTGGCCCGCTGCGTCAGAGGCCGCGCCGCCCCTTCCCCCCCCCCGCCCCCGACCTAACAAGGCCAGTACGCAAAGGAGCGATCGCCCCAAGAGGGTCGGGGGAAGGGTGGTGGTGGGGGGAGAGGGCAACGAGGCCCCTGTCCTGGTCGGGGAGGGTGGCAGCTGGGACAAGGACAGGACCTTTGCCGCCAGGGAGAAGGGACGTCAGGCGAGGGCAAGCAGCCGGATCCTGCGCCTACAGCCCGTCGGTGCCGTTTGCTGCCCAGCAGGACGAGGGTCCGGGGCACGCGCGTGGCGGGAAAGTTTCGAGGTAGCAAAAGTGGCCTGCACTGCCCGCTGCGGGGGGGGACGGGAGGAGGGCGACGGCTGACTGCCTCTCCTGGAGAAGACAGAGAGGAAAAAAGCCGAGGGAAGCGGGGGGGGGGGGGAGCGGGCAGCACCAACCTGAACAGATTCCGCCTCCCCCTCCGCCCCCGGGAAGCCGGAGTGGGGAGGCGCGGACCGTCTCCTCCCGCACGGCCAGGACGACACTCCCCCCCTTTTTTCTGCCAACGTCTATCTCAAGGCGCGCGCACATACGGAGATTGTGCGGCTTTTTTACCCTCGGGAGGAAAAACACGGAGTGTCAAAGAAGAGAGGGCAAAGCGAAGAACTCCTCCTCGGCGTGCTCAGCACTCCGTGCCGCGGCCGGGCGCAGGGACGCCGCCGCCGCCGCCCGCTCTCTCCCGGTCCTGCGGCGTGTGCCAGTGCGAGCGCGAGCGAGGGCACCCGCTCCCGGGGACGCCCAGACACTTTTAGGCGCTCGAGCCGACATCGCCGCCGCGGCGGCAGCCAGAAGACACAGGGACGAGAAGGGCCCTGCCTCCGCCTCGTCCTCCTCGGCCGGCGCCCCGCGCCCGACCGGCCAGCGCAGGCAGGCGGAGGGAGGGAGGCAGCGAGGAGGCGGGCGGAGCGGAGGCCCCGGAGAAGCGCGCCGCGGCCGGCCCGCCCGCCCGTGGATGCGGTGCCCCGGGAGCCTGGAGACAACTTTGCCGTGTGACGCGCCCAGAGGACTGCAGGGCCCGCGGCCGAGGGCTCGGCGCTTCCCGTGAGCGGGCCCGCGCGGCGGCGCTCCCCGGCACCGCGCTCGCTCCGCGCCGCCGCCCGCCGGCCCGCAGCGGGGACGACCTGCCCGTCGCCGGTGGCGGCGGCCCTTCCCCGGCGCAAGGCAGCGAGGGCGAGGCGCTCAGGTGCGAGCGCGGGGCCCCGCCGCAGCTCCCGCCGCAGCGCCGCGCCGCGCCGGCTCCTCTCCGGGGGCTCCGGCACCTTGGCTTCCGTCTCAACCAAGTTGCGTCCACCGGCTCTTTCGCCACCTTCCCAGCCCGGCGGCCGAGCCTCCGCTGCCGCTGCTTTCGCTTCACCCGAGCGGGGCTGCGGGGCCCCGACGCGGAGAGGATGGGCAGAAGGCTGCAGATGCCGAGGCACCCGCGACGCCCGCGCGCCACTGACCCTCCGGCCTCCGCGGCGCCCCTTCTCAGCCGCGGGAACCCCCGCGGCCCGGCCGGCCCCCTCCCCTGCGAGCCGGCGGCGGCCCTCCGGCAGGCGGGCGGGCGGGCGGAGGCCCGGGCGGCGCGGGCGGGGGCGGGCGGGCGGTGCGCCCGAAGCCCGGAGCCCGGCCCTGAGCTCGCCTCGCCTCGCCTCGCGGCGGGCGCCCTCGTCGCCAGCGGCGCACCATGGACGGGCTGCCCGGTCGGGCGTTGGGGGCCGCCTGCCTTCTGCTCCTGGCGGCCGGCTGGCTGGGGCCCGAAGCCTGGGGCTCCCCCACGCCCCCGCCGTCGCCCGCTGCGCCGCCGCCACCCCCGCCGCCCGGAGCCCCGGGCGGCTCTCAGGACACCTGTACGTCGTGCGGCGGCTTCCGGCGGCCGGAGGAGCTGGGTCGGGTGGACGGAGACTTCCTGGAGGCTGTGAAGCGGCACATCTTGAACCGGCTGCAGTTGCGGGGCCGGCCCAACATCACGCACGCAGTGCCCAAGGCCGCCATGGTCACGGCCCTGCGCAAGCTGCACGCGGGTAAGGTGCGCGAGGACGGTCGCGTGGAGATCCCGCACCTCGACGGCCATGCTAGCCCGGGCGCCGACGGCCAGGAGCGCGTTTCCGAAATCATCAGCTTTGCGGAGACAGGTGGGTCCGGCCTTGGGGCTGCTTGCCGCGGCCCGCGCTCCCTCCCTCCCTCCCTCTCTCTCCTTGCCAGCTCCGGCTGCCATCGCTGCAGCAGCCCGCGCGCCCCGGGGGCAACCTAGACTCCCGGCCGGACCGTGCTGCTGTGGTCCTGCACGCGCCGCAGGGTTGCATTCGTCCTCCTCAGGCCACGGACCTTCCTGCTCCCTTGTCTCCACCGCCGCCGAGCGCCCTGCCCGGCCCCCCCCCACTCCCCGCTCCCGGAATCGGGCCCCAGCACCTCTGGGCGCGCGTCCCCCTCCCGGCAGATGCGCGCGGCCCTGGCTCTGTGGGCACTTGCTTGGTGATTGCTTAATGTTTTTGTTTCCCACGATCGGAGTGTAGGCTTAACAGTGTGGATGGAGATGTGTGTGCTTGTTGATATACGTGGGCCGGAGGAGTGTGTGTTTGAGAGAGAGAGAGAGAGAGAGAGAGAGAGAGAGAGAGAGAGAGAGAGAGAGAGAGAGACTGAGTGTGTGTGTGTGTGTGCCTGCGTGAGAGGCCCCCGGGGCCGCTTGCATCGCCGGGCGGGCGGCGTGGGCTTGCCAGGATTGCTGAAGCCTCGCTGGGGAGAGCTAGGCAACCTCTCTTCCGATTGTGTGGGCACCAGATTCGGGCGGAAGGCAGCTTCTCAACAGGTCCATCATTTACGCAAAGACACGGCTCAGGGACAGCTCGGGTGCCTTTCGGCTTGCCTGGCAGCAGCGGCAGCTCTCCAGTCCCAGAGCCGCAGAGTTCATAGTTAACAAAGAGTAGGAGTCCTTTCTGGAATTTTCCCCCTGGTCCCACGTTGCAAATCTCTTCCTCTGCCTAAATATAAAAATTAGGGAGAGAAAAATCTTTGGGAAGTTTTAAAAAGAAAAAAGGAAAATGTACCCGCGCTGAAATACTGCAAGTGCTTTAGACTCCGCTGTCCTTTTCAGGACTTGAATGAGCCAGGCTGGCTTTTGTGCCTGGAGCCCGGCCCCATTTGTGCAGAGGGGACTGCAGAGAAGGTCGCAGAGGGGGAAGCCCCAGTGCAGTCAGAGTGGGGGGTAAGCAGAGAGCCTGGGAGGAGGAGAGATCAGTTGTGCCCCTGGCTGCAAATGCTCCCCCCGCGACATCACGCTCCCCCAGGCAGCAGGCAGACGGTGCTGGTGCCGCCTGGGGATGAAAAGGGATGAAAAGTTTTGCATGGCCGGGTGTGGAGAAAAGCAGAGACAATCAGGGCTGGTTTGTGCTTAGAAAGAAATGCATTGCTGTTTTAGCTGTCCGCTGGAGTCAGGGAAAGCTCGACATGCAATTAGAGGGCTTGGATTAAAAGGTGCTCTGGGGCCCAGGGTAGAAATGTGACTCTGGAAGGTTGAGGAGGCCTTTTGGTCCCAGTGGCACAAAATGACAGCGGGGGCTGTTATATTTCTGGTCCGTTTCACGGAGCCAGCGCTTTGACTTATAAATAACAGATTCAGGTCACAGGCAGCTCATCCAAGACCAGCTTTTAAGGCTGCAGTTTCCCCCATTTCAAAGTCAAATGTCAGTGTTATTAGAGGAGCCAAGCGAGGCCTGAGGAGGGGACTGGGGGGCATGGTGTGAGGTTTGATATAACCAGACATGTCCATACAGCTGCCGTATTCCTGAAAGAAAGAAAGAAAAAAAAATTAGTAGAGATTGTCAGAGGAAGGGGTCACTGAAATGTAGTGAGAGGGGCATCCTCTCTTGGCTAGCATAGCCACTCTTCTTGCTGAACTACTGAGAAAACTAACAAACCATTCTCCCTTTTCCTTGGAGATTTTGAATGTGCTGTGAACGGGAGCTGGGGTCTTGTCAAAGGACTGGACCTCAAGTTTCAAGGCTGAATGTCCTGTCCCTTGGAACTACTCAGAAACAAGGGCTGCACTTTGCAGCCTGCAAAGCACACGTTCCTGTGTCAGAAATCTGAGCAGAGTTTGCTTGTTTGCTGTGGAGGTTCCACTGGGGGTTGGATCAGATCATGCTTAGGTAAACACTGGAAAGAGGCGGTAGGTGGCTCAGCTGGATTTTGCAATGCCCTAAGTTAACCAAAAAAAAAAAAAAAAATCCTCTACTTAAAACAACCCACCCAAAAATCCTTCCTGTGATTGCGATTCTGGTTTTGTTTTCCAGATTTCACAGATACCCATAACAACTTGTTAAGACCTTGGCCTTCTGACAAGTTGCTCTGTTGAGCTTTGAGGCCTGACAGGCTGTCTCCAGGGAGCCCTGGCCTGGGAGAGGTGAGGCAGGATTTTATAGGCCTGGACCCTCCAGCTCCACCCTGGTCCTGATTTCTCAATGAGAAGTGATTCTCCTTGCCTCTCCCAGGTTACCGGCAGAGGCCCAGGCCCCGGTCCCAGGAACGGTTTTTCTGGTCAGTAACGTTTTCCAGCTGTGGCAAGTGTGCATTCCAGAATCAGGCAGCAGAGTCCATTTCCCCGTGGCCTCGTGTTCTCCTGGAATTAACTCTGCCTGTTCTTCCCCTTCTCTGCAGATGGCCTCGCCTCCTCCCGGGTCCGCCTGTACTTCTTCGTCTCCAATGAAGGCAACCAGAACCTGTTTGTGGTGCAGGCCAGCCTATGGCTATACCTGAAGCTCCTGCCTTACGTCCTGGACAAGGGCAGCCGGCGGAAGGTGCGGGTTAAGGTGTACTTCCAAGAGCAGGGCCATGGTGACAGGTGGAACATGGTGGAGAAGAAGGTGGACCTGAAGCGCAGTGGCTGGCACACCTTCCCACTCACTGAGGCCATCCAGGCCCTGTTTGAGCGCGGTGAGCGGCGCCTCAACCTGGACGTGCAGTGCGACAGCTGCCAGGAGCTGGCCGTGGTGCCAGTGTTCGTGGACCCGGGTGAGGAGTCCCACCGGCTTCGTGGTGGTGCAGGCCCGCCTTGGTGACAGCAGGCATCGCATCCGCAAGAGGGGTCTGGAGTGCGATGGTAGGACCAGCCTCTGCTGCAGGCAACAGTTCTTCATCGACTTCCGGCTCATCGGCTGGAACGACTGGATCATTGCACCCACCGGCTACTATGGGAACTACTGCGAGGGCAGCTGCCCGGCCTACCTGGCGGGGGTCCCTGGCTCAGCCTCTTCCTTCCACACGGCTGTGGTGAACCAGTACCGCATGCGTGGCCTCAACCCCGGGCCCGTGAACTCGTGCTGCATCCCCACCAAGCTGAGCTCCATGTCCATGCTCTACTTCGACGACGAGTACAACATCGTCAAGCGGGATGTGCCCAACATGATCGTGGAGGAGTGCGGCTGCGCCTGACAGTGGCCGGCGGGGCGTGGCAGCAGTGGCGGAGGTCAGGCCCGGTGGGCTTCTTCCTGCCCCTGCAGGAAGAGGAGGTGAAGGTGGGCTGAGTGTCGTCCTCCCATGGGGCTGCAGAGTGCCAGGGTGAGGCTTGAAAAAATTTTCTACTCCTTCCTAGAGCAACCAGTCAAAACCAGAGGGAGAACCCTCAAGTGACATGAGAGACTCAAATGCACACGTAGACACGCACAGCCAGACGCATCCTGCCACCCACACAGAAGCCTCTGGGACACCAGCAAATAGTTGGGGTGACAAATGGCAGCTTAGCTACTAATGCTTGTCACTCAGAGAGAACGGGGTGAGCAGCCACCATTCCCACCAGCTGGCCCGGCCACTCTGAATCGCGCCTTCTGAGCACACATAAAAGCACAAAGACAGAGACACTGAGAGAGAGGAAGAGAGAGAGAGCACCACTGAGAGGAAAAGCAGGGTGGGAGTGCTGGCAGGCGGAGGGCTGGATGTCCCCTGGCTTGCACCAGACCTCTGCAGCAGCTCCTGGCACAGTGTGTGCACTGGCACCCCACCTGGCATTCTCCGTGTTGCAAGGCGGGAAGCTGTGCTTACCTGCCCTTGAAGAGGGAAAGCTATACCCAGGAGGGACTTGACCTGTCAGAGACTGTGGAGTGGGACAATGACGGTTTGACTGTTTGTCACCTGGATCTCTGACATGACTCTGTGTGTGTGTGTATGTGTGTGTTTGTGGAGTAGGAGGGAAGGGAGAGGAGAGGGGTCTTAATTTGATGCTTTAACTGATCTCCAACAGTTGACAGGTCATTTGTGCCAGTTGTAGAACTGAAAAAGAGACTTTTCTATCAGGTATGACCTTTTAAGTGGAAATCTGAATTGTTAAATGAGAGGAAAAAAAGTTGCAATTGGTGCCCTTTGCTGGGGACATTCCTCTAAGGCTGGTTAGGGGAGGGGTGGGATGACCACTAGGCAAGAGGATGAGTCTGGAGGAAGAAATGGAGGGGTTCTGGAAATGCTTGGTTGGGGGGAGTCCCCCAGTGGAGTGTGAGGGAGGGGAGCCATTTAGCTGGTCTTGGAGAGGTGGGGAAGGCTTTCAGCTGCTTTGCAGAAGTCGCTTATGTGGGTAGGCCATGGCCACTAGGCCCGCCATGGACACGGCCCCTGCCCACTCACCGCCTGCCTGCTCACCCACTCTGCATAGCACTTGTAGAGCTGCCTGAACGCACATGATATAGCACTTGCCAGTCTGCGTGTGTCCAGAAGTGGCCCTGGGATGAGCACTGAATTAGCTCTCCCTCTAGATGTCCAAGTGCCGTGAACTATGCAATTTAAAGGGTTGACCCACACTAGGTGAAACTGGACTCGTACGACTCTTTTTATATTTTTTATACTTGAAATGAAATCCTTTGCTTCTTTTTAAGCGAATGATTGCTTTTAATGTTTGCACTGATTTAGTTGCATGATTAGTCAGAAACTGCCATTTGAAAAAAAGAAGTTATTTTTATAGCAGCAAAAAAAAAAAAAAGAATACAGTTAAATGTATTATACATAATTTTGGAACCAAAGAGGCCAACAGATCAGTTTTAATTTTTATTAGATGGTGAGGCCATCTTCTATGAGGTGGACGTTTTGAACAGTCCCGTGAGTGGCCTGCCAATATTTCAGGGTATAAATGGATTTTGTTTATTCATTTTGATGTCTTTTCTATCCTTACACACCCAGAAGGTAGAGTAAAAATGACTATGGTAGAATGCAGGTGTGTATCCTTAAATCCTCATCTTTATGTTTATTTAATAAAGCTCCCCTTAGGTTCTGTTTCATAATAATTTAAAACCAAACAATTTCCCCATAGACTGGCTGTTAAAGTATTTTACGTTTGTGTACAGTTTAAGAAAATAAAAGATTGAGCGCCACGGGCATCCTGCCTCATGTGCTGTCTGGGGTGGTGGGGCGAGGCTGGAGGTGGACAGCTGGGAGGAGGGTTGGTCCAGGTGTCCAGTTTCGACGCCAGCAGCCCCCACGGCTCGCTCCCGGCACTGAGTCCTTGCCATGAGATGTATGTCACTCACAAGCTAGGAGAGATGGCAGAAGATCAAAATGAAGGACAATTAGCAAATTCATGAATTACACATTTGTTTACCCTTCTAGTCCCAAGACTGATTCTGTTTCACCAAGGCCGCATCTATTAGCATTTGAAAGTGCTGACTAAGCCCCATCCCTGGAAAGAAGTGTACAACCTGGAAGGTGAAGCCCCCTGATCTCTGTGCTCACCTTTGGCTACTAATGTGGGTGACTGTGACCCAGAAGGAGCTTCAGATCTTGGAATAGGAGGTAAGCAGACCAAGCCAGGAGTAGGCTGATGATCCTTCTTTCCCTTGGAGGGTTTGAACTGGCGAGAAGTAGTAGAGGTGATGGTGTCAGTACTGACGACAGCTCAGCTGTCACCTCGAAGTGTGACTTACAGACCTATTCAGTCCTGTCACCCACACAGTGCCTGAATCACACATCTTCATTTTCCAAAGGTTAGGAACTGGGGCTGAGGGAGTTCAGGTGCATGCCTGAGGTCACCTAGCCAGTTCAGGAACCCTTAGCGTTGGAGTCCACTTGCTTCACTGATAGACTTACAGCTCTGTCCCAGGGTCTGTATCCCATCCTGTGTGGTCTTCCCAGAAAATCTCAGGACATTTGAATGTGTGGGACTTTAAGGGTTATCTAACCCCATTAAGGTAATGGGGAAACTGACAGCTCCACGACCATATCTCAATTCATCCTGCCAGCTGGGGCAGGAGGTATTCTCATTTTCTGCCTAGGCCAGAGAGTTTACTGCTTTGCTGGGCTCTCCTCCTGAGGGGTGAATTTGTTGATCTGTGAAGCCATGAAACGATTTTCAAGTTCACAGGGATAAGAAAGTGCCATCATGACAGTTCTGACCTGGCCCTTTTGGGGTGTAAGTCATGACCCAGCTGTACTCCACACTGCCTGGGCTGGCCCACTGCCTGCAGCTCTATTCCCTCTGTCTGGTCTGCCTTGCTCTGCCCTGGTATTGTTATGCAGGCCTGAAGCCAGGAGGGCAGTATGAGAGTGATCAGAGAAGCCCCTGCTCTTTGGATATGGGGCATCTGTGGGGCCCCTCCTGGGGCTGGCCCTGTAGGTCCAGCAGTAGCCCCAGGATGGGCTCATTCCCTGCTAGTGTCCACTCCCTGCTTGTGCCTCACTCAGTTCATGGGGTTTCTCAGTTCAGGAGTCATGAGCCAGTGGGAAGGCAGGCGTAGCTCCTGATTGGCTCTCTGCTGCCCCATGCCAGTGTGTGTCTCTGTGGGATGTGGCTTGCTGTGCACCATGACTGAGAGGGGCAGTGAGGCAGGCACTGCAGCCCTGTCCTGGACTGAGTGTCCCTCCAAGGGGCCACACAGCCTCTGTGCATCCTGTGGTCAGGCTTCTTTTGCCATTTTCTCACTCTGTGCTCCATCCTGTCTTCCTGCTGCTCTTTCCCCTTCTCTTCCTCGTGGCCTCTGTCTTACTGAAGATGCCCCTTGGAGCCCTGCACTGCTAGGCCCAGAGGGCAGGCTGTGCACTCTGCCCCTAGGCTTACCACCTCTGGATGAAGCCTCTGCTGGACTTCAAGAAGTTCTTTTCTGGCTTCCCTCTCACTCTCCCTTCTTTCTGTGGTTTCTAGGCTGTTAACACTCGTGCTCATCCCCAGCCTCAACTGGGACCAGTGGGATGGGCAGAGCTGTAAGGCTGCTGTCTCCACCTGCTGCAATACCCAAGGGCCCACTGTGTAGGGTTGATCCCTAGCTGACCTTCAAACATGCTCCGTTCTTAGCGACTGTACAGAACTCAAAGCCTGAGTTGGGCTGTGGGGAGGAGAAGGGCACCAGAAGAGGACAGAGCTCTTATCTACCTCTAGCATCCTCCATGTACTAGGCAGGCAGGCAAACGGCTGGTATCAGAGGCTCAGGGTGTTCCTGCTTTGTACTTTCTCCTCTGGATCTCTCAGGGCTGGCTCAGAGTGGGGCATACGGGGTCCCCTGTGGCCCAGCCCCAGGTTGGGGACAGCATTAGGAAGGGCAATGGTATATCAAAGCTTTATACACACTCCTTGCGGCATGACAGAACACCATTGACAAGGTCCCTACCACAGCTCCAAGTGATGATCTGGAAAATAGACCTGGGCAGCCCTGGCACTGTGGCTAGGTTCCTGAGGCACCCCGAACTCAGGCTGGCCCAGGGCCATGCTTGGCGAGCCCTATACAAGGCCTGTGGGAACTACTACTGGAGGTCCCCAAGGGGACACACAGTCTATCTGGCCTTGGGGAATCCTGCAATGCTGAGGCCTCCTGTGTGAGGACAAGGGACTGGACAGGAGGAACAGCATGCAGGTTATGTGTGTTGCTGGGTCTGCTGGCGGTGGGCTTGGACGTGACACCAGTGTGCGTGACTAGGTGTGGGGAAGCATGGCATGAGGTGTGGACAAGGAAAGGGGGGTGAGGTGGAGAGAGGTGCTTTTTGATGACTGTGGATGTGACTGGGTGTGTGCCGAACTCCATGGGGTTCTGGGCTGTGACTGTGGGTGTGCAGTTGGCTGTCTCTGAGGTTGTGAGGTCCTGTGGGTAGTGTGAGACCGTGTGGGGTGATGACTGGCTGATTGGTTGGCTGATTGTGCTTCTTGTCATTTCCATTTTCGTCCTCATTCAGGTGATGCACCAGTGCCTGCACTTTGCCATCCTTGCAGTTAGAATCTATGACTGCCCTCAAGTCCAGCAGATACCCTGTGGGCTGGGCTGGGTGGATACAGGTACCATTCTGTGGCCTGTGTAGGTATCCTTGGTGTGATGTCACAGCTTCTGCTGCCTTGCCCTGGCAGCCCCTACAGATTCAAAACCCAAGCACATAAAAAATGGAAAGATTTCATCTGGTCATGTAGTCACTCAATGAACATTTCTTGGGTGCCTGCTGTTATGTGCTGTTCATGCATCATCCCAGTTTAGTCCTTACAGCAACCCAGGGGTGGTAGGAAATAGGTATTATTAACCCCACTGTATAGATGAGAACACTGAGGCCAGGGCAAGGAAGTCATTCATTGAAGGTTGCCCAGCTCATGAGTAGCAGAGCAGGAATTTGCCCCCAGGCAGCTGTTTCCAAACTCACTCACAGCCACTGGGCTGCTCAGGAAGACTGAAGGGAGGCTCAGAGTTTCCTAGGTGTACATTTGGAGGGGTCTGGTTCCCCGACTCTCCCTGATCCCAGTGTGAGCTGTGCATTCAGCTGTTCC